CCCGCTCTGTCTCTGGTGAAGCCTCTCACCGCCCCTGAGCCTCTGGCCTGTACCCCAGTTCTGTATGCACAAATAAATAAATCTTTAAAAAGAAATATCAATAGCCCTATCAATCTCTGAGTAACTCTTCCTTACCTGGAGGATAAAAGGTTAGTTCTATAACAGCACACAAGTCAATGCATAGCCCTTTTCTCACCCTACGTTAAGCTTTGGCAGCCAGTAATATTAAGCTGATGTTGTTCCCCACACAACTCTGCTACCTCCCACTATGCTTCATCAATTGGAATCCCCTTCACACTTATAGAACTCCATTTCTTTATCTGAAAAAAACTGGTTTTCTCTCAAGAGCCTAGGTGAGGTTGCATCTCCTCCTCTGTGTTCCTGTAGTACCTCGCATATATCTATGTCACCAAACTTACTGCAGTCTATTTAGATTATTATTTTACACTTCTGTCCCCCATTAGATGGTAAACTGACTAAGAATTATGTCATTTTTTTTTTAAATCCCATCACTAGGAGTTAGCACATGAAGATGGTAGTCAGAGAAAGAACTAAGAGAGTTAAACACTGAGAGGCAAGATCAAACATTACCTGCTTCAGTTTTTCTTCTCCTACACCTGATTTGTCTTTCAGTTATTGATTGAATGTATTAACAGCAATTTCACCTTGAAGGGAGTAGAAGCTATTATAATATCATATTTCAATGTAGCTTCGCTCACAGGAAAAATCCTTCTCTCCCTTATTGTTACTGTCTATCCTCTCATCTTCCCAGTCATCCATAAAAACCACAGCCTATGAATAAGCTTTATTTTTCCCTAAAGACTATTTCTTATATAAATTCAGGGACAAATGAAAGCAAGTTCTTCCCTCTGTACCTAGGAAGGAGAATTCTCAATCTCCTGAATTCAACAAGGGAAAAAATAGAATGAATATTATTCAGAAATATTAAATGGCTTAAAAAGCAACAAATAAGGAGAATAAAATTCATTCTAGTCCACAGATAAAATATAAAAAGAAGTAATACAAAAATAATTACCAATCTCAAAGCTCCCATTTATAAATCCAACTAAAGATGTCGGGATGTTGAACTGTCTTTCTATTTGTGTGAGCATGGAATTCATATAAGATCCAGATAGTGTTTTGGCTATATATGCACATGTTATTGCCACCAGAAACATCTAGGGAGAAAAAATATATAAGAAAACATATAAAAATGTTATTTTTAAATTGTATATATGCTACCTGTTGACAAAATATCTTCTACAAGACTGACTCAAATATAAATAATCCTTGAACTTGCAAGACACTTTAGTTGTAGTCTGTTCTTCTGGCTTTTCATATCAAGTTCTCATTTTGAAAATTCAAAGTAGGGCTGATTGATTAGTGATATTGAAAAAAAGAAGAATGTAACATTAGACATTACTTCTGTAGCAAATTCCCTTAAGGTTTCTCATATCTAAAGTAATATTGACAAATTGACAATATCAGAGCAGCTGTTCACTGACCATTAATTTAAAACATTAATTAGACTACTACAAAAAATATTTCAAAATTGAACAGTATTTGCTATGATAAACAAATATGAACACAATAAAATTCCATATATTGACTCATGTTTCCTATGTATTAAGATAGTTCCAAAGAGGAGCCAGATTAACATGACCCATGACAAAAACTAAAGACACATAAAACAACTGCCATCATTAGGAGCTAGTATTTTAAAGAAAATATGAAAAGTTAAAAGTTTGATTTTATTAACAGAAAAAGACTTACATTTTAGTAGGAGTTTTGAAAAGGTGTGTTTTATGCTGGGTAGTAGTATAATGAATTGGGTAGCTTATTTCTTCACAAACAGCAAAGTCTAGATAAGTAAATTTACATCAACCTGAATTGTGGGTTTCCAATATTAGGCCATAGGAACTTTTTCTTGACCCTACTTAAGTATATTATCTGAAGACACTTCCATCCCTGGAGACCATATGATCTGCTCTTAGCCAACACTCTCAAATCCCTAAAGTCCTCTCCTCTCCACATGCTACACACATTTTTGTTTTTGTTTTTGTTTTAAATACTGTCATTTGTTGTTGAGGAAACATTGGTTTACAATACCATATGTGACTTACGGGGTGGAGGGTCACACTTCTTCAGATACGTTACCACTCTCTCTATCAAAACACACATATTCCTCCACCATAGTCCTTCATGCTCACAATCTTGAATCAACTCCATAAATTTTATTGCACCCTATAAAGTCCCTTTAAGATTCTCACAATCTTTTTGATTTGTCTCCAATTTTGCCATATATAATTCATAACCAACAAATGATCTCAAACTTACTTCATCTCCACCCTTATCACTTTAGGATAGGTGTACTTTCTCCTTTGTAATAAAAATCCCTTTTCCCATGCTTCCTATTTCTGAGATCCTGATCCATGAAT